AAATAAATAAATACTGCACCAGTCCTACACCTGAATGAACAGTTACTCAGGACCGAAACAGGTCTGAAGTTATGAGAGATAGTTGCTTAAACCCCCTACTTTGGATATTCCTTTGCAAGAATGAGGGGGTAGCATCTGCCAAATAGCTCACTGCTTGCAGGCATTTTAAACCGGGGTTTTGATCTCTGGACTTGCCACCCAGTCCGCACCCTCGGGTGCGTTCAAACAGAGACTCAGACTGTGTATGGTGGTGTGAGACTGTAATCCCAGCACTTGGGAGTCTGTAAAAAAGAATCGATACGAGTCAAATCTGGTAGTGAGACCTGGAGCACCCTGTAGACCCTTCCCTAAAATAAAAAATAAAAAAACTTAAAAAGTGAGGATATAACCCTGGAGATAAGTGATAGAACAGTTCTTAAACAAAGACAAAACAACCCTTTGACCTAAGGAAACTGCGAGAAACACACAAAGTACAACTCAGTATTTGAAAGATAATTAGATCATGGTGACTGAGACATACAAAGAACTACTGCATAGAACATGAAATAAAGAATTTGTCCTGAAAGGCCTAAGTGAAAAGCTACACAGAAGATTAAGAGTCACCACCTGAAGATGGAATCAGAAAAATACCAGAATGCCAGAAGTAGGGTTAGGAGAGTGAGGAGCATTGCTTGTGAAAATATTATTAAGGAAATCCCCTGTGATGAAAACTAATTTCAAGATACACCATAGACTTTGTCAGTAAAACCAACTGTGGATTCAGGGCCATTGAGACCTCCTCAGAGATCGCAGACCACCTTACTCAGTAGTGGTGATTGACAAGATTTGTAGAAACAATACCCACAAACAGTTGTACCAAACATACAAACAGAAGGAGAGACTGTAGACCTGGGCTTAAAGAGAAACATTGCACCGGTCCATGTAGCCTCCATAGGTATCATGATGCTGAGAAAACACCGTGGGTTATCCATGGACAATTTCACTTTAATAACTAACAAGAATATTGGCAAAAATGACGCGTGTTAGGAATTTGTATCTAGAACACAAAAGCTTTCCCTAGTAGTGTCAGTTGCAGTGAAATCTGGAAAATCTTTTTGAGTTTGAGCAGATCGTGGTCCACTTTGCATTACCATGTGTTCACATGTGTGTTCTCTGAACCTTTTATTTAGGGAGGTGAGCAGACTTGATCTGTATATCATCCACAACTTCAGTGAAGTAAACAACTAGGGGAACATACAATCCAGGTAAATAAATATCTTGTACAATTACAGCAAGAGACATAAAACCAGGTTCCATTTGGACTATGAGATCATTGCCCACCCAAATGCAAATGTGTATGTTTCTATTGGACCCTCAAGGCAGAGAGAAGAGTACAGGACAAAATCACACAACTGGCCCACAGGCAGAAGCTGAAGAAGTAATGCAACATCACT